CTTGGTAAAGAGAGCCCTGAGCTCCTGTTTGCTTCGGCTAGCGACAAGCCGTGCCAAGGTGGCGCTGGCGCTGGCCCTGGGCCAGACTGTGTCCGGGACAGCGAGCGCCCCCCGCAGGCCCAGTGCTGCGGGGCCTGCCCGCAGAGCCAGAGCGGGCGTAGAATTGGAGTTGGGGTGTTTTAGGACGCCCCCTCCACGCTCCTGCCTTCAAGTGGAATTTGAGCCTCGGCCCTGGTTTTCTTCCCCGGAAGAGGTCTTGTTTGGGATGCAGGGCACTGTGTAAACAGCTCTTTGGACTCCCTACGTCCTTGAGTCTGTCCTACTGCTCATACCCTGAGCAAAGCTCAGGAGCTCTCCTCCTTTCAGTCACTTTCCTGTCCTCCCACCAGTCCCAGTTTTAGTTAATTAGAATCAGAATGTCACGCTTCTTCCCGAAGGAGTTGAGTTGCACAGGATGTTCAGATTTTGCACATCCAAAGCAGTGAATCCCTAAGGGAGGCATTTCAAACCAGTGGGAAGATACATAGGGGTAAGGGGAAGGAACTTGCCAAGTGGGAGTAGGTGGGGTTTTCTCAGAATCAGAGTCCCTTGGCATTGACCTTTAGAGTCTGGGTGCAGCCAATTTGGTCTCAAAGCTTTTGTGACTCTGAGGTTGGAGTGATTCATGACCTTAGGAAGGCAGATCATAGGACCTTGGGATGCTTTTATTCAATCTGCCTACTAGAAGCAGATCACCTCAGGTCATCACAAAAATAAAACCTCATCAGAACTATTGTATATGGTAGAAAGGAGAGTCATTGTCTTGCCTTAGGACTCCAGATTCAATGATTTATATGTACCTCAGGATCTAAACTTTGCCTCCAGAGTTGTTGGGGTGTAGTGAATAGAATATAAGAGCTGAAGTCCTGGTAGCTAAGTGGTCTACAAGGTAGTTCTTAACCTTCTTATTTAGTCACAAGTTCTTTTATGAATCAGATGAAGTTATAGTCCTCTCTCCAGAAAAATGTCTACACACACTAAAACAAATGGAATCTTGTGTATAATCCCAGGTGGCTCACATGACCACCCATAGGCTTCATAAAGCTGCATCTTTGCATTCTTGATTTAACAGTTCACATTGTTTAGGAGAATGAATTAAAACTCCAGTTTTCTGATTCCCAGTTAAGTAGTCTTTATAATAGGATGTTTCTTGCAGGCTACTCAAACTACATTGCAAACTGTATTTGTTGGTCCCAAAATACCTTCAATAAAGAGATTTATAACAAAGGAAACCTTTTCACATTTGGAGGGGTCGAATGGGCAAGGCAAACTGGTAAGAATCTGTGTATGAGTTTTTGAGTGTTTTCTTTTAATATTCCTCTATTCTTGCAAACTAGTCAGACCATTGTAATTTCAGAGTGTAAATCTAGGGCTCACTGAATTTTGGCAAGTAGAATGAAAATCCCTCAAATTCATCTTTTGTTTTTCTTCCCTCTTGCTCAAGTATGTCTATATCCTTTGGGCCTGCAAGTATCTCATGTTAAGAGGGAATGATGGAGCAGATATTCAGTTTTTATAGAGAGAAACAAATCCAGGAAGAGTGAGGGTCGCACAACAAGTACATGGGAGAGTCAATAGCTGAGCGCTGCTTTCTGGACCACTAACCTCTGCATATTTTGTGCCAGATGATTCTGTGGTCCCCATACCTTGGTTCCTAACTACAGATGGAAAAAACAAAGACATGTTGCTAGGTAGACACTTAGGCCATCCCAGACAAGAAGTCAGAATCTCTGAAAATGGGGCCACATTTGGGAACCACTGCTCTACCCTGTGTTGGCAGAAGTAAACCTTCATTTTTCCCACCTTGGAAAGCAGTTTTGTGGAATGGAGTGAGGGGGGTGTTTTTGTTTGAATTAGAGCTTTTGAGTCAGCCACACCTGTATCCAAATTTGATATTTACCCCCTTGCTAATAACTATCTCCTAGGCGATATGTATGAGAATAAATGAAACATGTAGTAAGGCCTAAGTGTTATGTCTTCTCTATCATCAGTCTGGGAAGCAGGAATTCCTGGGTTCTTCTCTATCTTGTGATTGGGGCATTGGGCAGAAGTCATTTGAGGGACCTGTAAGAGAGCGAGAAGCAGTTGCCCTAGTCCATCCCTATAAAGCATACCCTGCGGCCCGCTTCATGTGAGCTTGAGTGCTTTCAGGGGAGTTATCCAGTAATGCGGAGGACCGTGGACTGGTGAACGCTTTTATTTTTGCTTCAAAGTTCCCCTTTTGCAATGAGAAGCCCTCGGAGGTTCTGGGGGTCAGAAATGTGACTTGGAAGATCGCTGAAGGTGTTCCCAGGCATGGCGCCTCCTCTAGGAGCCAAGGAAACATAGGAAAGTCCCCATGGGACTGGGAGGCTTCACAGTTAACATCTGCTGTGGGGGTGGGGCTGGCAAAGTGGGATGTGTGATTCCAGCTGTGATCACCTGACTACTTGCCCTGGCTTGGGGAAGAAGAAGTCCTGTGGTTGGTCACTGGCAACTCTGTGGAGATACTGCCAACAGGTTTTGGTCTTCCCCCAATCTCATGGGGCTCCTGAGCCCCTATAACCTGAGAGGGTAGCTCCGTCAGTACAACAACGGCAGCGTTTCCTCCTCCTCCAGTTGAGATGAGGCTGAGGCTGGCTCCCTGGCATCGGGAGCTGGCGCCCTGAACTGCATGTTCAGCAAGTGGCTCTAGCCTGAGTCAGAAGGCTCCAGATGGGGCTTGTGCGTGGTCCTGGGCTGCGGGGAGCTGAGGGAGCTGAGGATCAGGAGTGGATGTGAGAGGCTTTTCCCAGCTCCCCGAAGCTAAGTCGTCAGCCCCCAGACCAGTGTCCACCCCGAATTCCTTGCAAGCAGGTGTTTCAGTGTCCTCTCTGACTATGCTCCCGTGTTGGAGCTGCTGGGAACGGGGAAGGGCAGAGCAGGGGGCTGGCTGGATGATGGGGTGCTGAGGCAGGACAGTTCCAGTTTCCCAGGAGCTGGAGTCCTGGTTTCTACTTTCCCAGGACAGCTGGGGCCTGGTGAAAACCGGGCGGCGGGGAACACACGCGAAAGGAATGGAGAGCCTTGTGTTCATGACTCAAAGATGCCCAGACCAGGGCGGGGGCCTTGTGAGGGGGTGACCATGTGCTGAGAGGAAACAAGAACAAAAGCTGGAGAAAGAACTTTTGAGACGGGGGTGTCAGAGGGGCTTTCTGAAATGTGAAATGAGTGCACGGGCAGATTTTGCAACACCTCCCTGCCCGCTGTCATCTCAAGCCTCCACTCCCCGCCCCTCCCCCCGCCGTTTCCCTTGCCCCACCCTGTGCTTCCTCCCATCTTTCACCAAGCTCCTGTTCTATTTCTGCTTTCCCTGTTCTTCTTCCATCTAGTCCTCCCCCCGCCCCGCACCCCCGCCACCAGCCATCCCCTGTTTCCCTGGTCCCTCTGGCCGCCTGCCCTGGCCCCCTGTCCTATGCTTTAATGTGGGGCCCATGGGAACTGAAGTTTACAGCAAAACAGGAAGAGCCTGTGAGCAGGAAGCTGGGAGTGGGGCAGGGGGTGAACAGACAGCAATAACCTCAGTTCCTCGCCTCCCACATCTGGACTGAAGCGTCCCCAGAGCTCTCGGCCTCTCCCACCGCGGCCCCCCAGCTCTGGCTCCTTCTGTCTCAGCATTTCACTGGTCCAGCAGACCTGAGAGGCAACAGGACAAGACCAGGCTGGACTCTGACACAGGAGAAAGAAAGAGCGCAGGGACTGGAGTGAGGACATCTGGATCCTGATCCCGCTCGGCCACTGTGTGTGGTCCTCAGGAAGCCTCTCCCAAGAGCTCAGTGTTCTCTGTAAATGGAGCTTGTGTTCTTTACCCTCTTCCCTGGGACTGCTCTAAGGGCCAAAAGAGATGGTGCGGGGTCTGTGTAGGGAACCAAGCACTGCAAGGTTAACAACGTGCAGATTCAAGGTGATGGGAAGCCCCGTGGCTGAGAGGGTTGGAAATTTAACAACTGCTGCCATCTCTTGAACACTTACTACATGCCACACACATATTGTTTAATTCTCAGGATAACCTTAGGGGACAAAAACTATTATTAGTCCCAATTTTAGAGATAGGGAAACACAGGTTCAGAGGCGTGAAGTAACTTGCTTAATCAAGATCACACAGCTAATAAGAGGCAAAAGCGAGGCCAGGATTTGAACCCAACATCTGAGCCCAGAGCCCAAAAGCTAAATCAACATGTGGAAATGAAGTTGACTAGAGCTAAAAAGTTTAGGGTAGAGGGGATCGTATAATTTTTCTTGTTCACTTATTGAATGAACAGGAACACAGATCCTGCTCTATGCCGGGCCCTGGTCCATAAGCTACTGGGGAGATAAAAGCAATAAAAGATGGTGTCTACCTTCAGGACGGACCTCATGTTCCAGGCGGCAGGGCAGGAAGGTTGCAGCTATAGTCTTAGTAGTTGCTGGACAGAGCCTGACATCACTTCATACAGAGCTGTTCCCCAGAGGCGGGAATTTGTGTACCTTCCCAGCTCCGCCCTGGGCTGGCACCTGGGTCACCTGCCACCTCCACCCCCACACCCATCCCAGGCTTGCCATCGCTCCTCTCTCCCCTGGCCTCTTCTGCTGTCGCTGTCGGCAGCCCTCCCAGGGCACCCCTGTTCCGAGCCTCCCAGGAAGGCCCAGCACCTGCCCCTCTCCACCCTGGAGTTCTACAGCTTGGCTGAGGCCGGGGCTGGTGGGGAGAGCTTCTTGGCCCCTTCCCAGAGGCAGGGGAGGAGGAGGGAGGCTGGGAAAGCAGGCTGAGGCTCCGTGTTGCAATTCCAGGCCGTGCTGGGACCTTTGCTCCATGAAATGTCTATGGAGGGGAGGGAACACCAACTCTGGAGGCTGCTGGGATTGGGGTGGGGGTGCTGGGGAGGCAGTCCTTCTGTAAGAGCAGCCTGGGTAAGGAGAGGAAGGGGAGACGTGGAACTGGGCTGGTCTGCAGGGAAATGCGACTGTTGTGGTTGGGGGTAGGGAGGCAGGGATGGCGCTGGGCTGAGGGGGTGGCTGGCTGGGGAGGAGTCAGCGTAGTGGGGAAGCTGCCCGGTGGGCGGGGGGGTAAGGAGGCCAGGGCTCCAGTCTGTCGGCTCCAGCTGACTCCGGGTCTGCCTGGCAGGAAGGAGCCGTGGCCCGACCTCTGGGCAGTCCCTCCTCTCGGCCTTTCCCCATATTACTTCCCTGGGGCTCCAGCCCCTGTCTTGCTCAGCTCCAGCTTCTCGGCCATCTCTGAGGCCTCTGGACAGGGACTGCACCGCCCTCCTCTCTCAGCAAGGGGGCTCCAGACACTGCCCCAGCCAGGAAGTCTGGTGGCCTGGGCATTCGGTGGGTCTGCTCCTCAGCACTTGCCTGGGGCTCTGTGTACGTGTGTGGTGTGGGGGGTTGGGGTGGGGTGGGGGTGCCCTGTGGATCTTAGAAAGGGTCTCTCTGGGGAGAAATGAGGGAAGATGATGGAGATGGAAGCTTGGGCAGCAACAGGATTCTATTTCGGTTCAGGAATAATGCCTGAGGGGCCGTGAGGGAGGCGGTCCTATATGTGAGTTGGGGCAATTCTTGGAGGCCACGGGTCTGTGCTGGGATCCTGGGAAGTGGCAGGGGTGAGGTTATCTAACAAGTGGCATGTTTCGCTGGGCGGAGTGAGCCTCGATCCGAGGTCCTGGTCCTGCCCAGCTTCGGCTGTCCCCAGTGCTGGGGTGAGGGCGAAGAGCTCTGACAAAACCAGGGCAGGTGTGCCCGCACGTCCCCTAACGGACTGCAGAAGAGCTCTCTGGAGAGAAAGTGTCATCGTGGCCAAGAGCTCAGATTGTGGAGTCAGAGAGACCGGGGTTGGAGTCTTGGCTCTGCCACTGCCTATCTGTGTGGCCAAAAGGAAGGTACTTAGTCTCTTTGAAATTCAGTTTTCTCACCTGTAAAATGGGCAAAAGAATAGTCCTGACATCATGGGGGTGGGGGCGGTGTGCGGAAAGCATGTAAACGCTTAGCATAGGCTGACACAGATATCAAGTAAATGTTAGCTGATACGTGAGTGCTGATAAAGAAAGAGCCCGCTTCTGGAGCAGCATAACCTGGTTATTCCTGCAGGGCAGACCGTTGGTGATGTCCAGGGCTTCAGGGAGAGATGTCCCTGTGGCTGGAGGCCGCCGTGCCTGATGTCTCTCCGGGTAAGCTTCTCCACTACAGCCCTCTCCCCTTCAGTCGGGACCCTCAGGCTCCTTCCCACAGTCAGCAGCCTCCTTCACTACCTTCCTTCCGTTCTTCCCTGGAGAGCAGTCTAGAGCGATCCTTGCCTTCTTCTGCCCAGACTACCTCTACCCTGGTTCTGGTGCCTGGTCCTTGCGGGCACTGCCGGTCCTTCTCAATCTGGGCTTGCTGCTAGGGAGAGCCGGTATGTCCAATGCTTCCCCAGCCCTGGCTTTCAAGAGCTCTGTCTGATCTCTGAGATACGTAGGTGTCAGCCCCTCAGGGGGCAAAGGTTAACATTCTCATTTAAGGTGTTGAGATGCAGAGAATTGCAAGCCCTAGAGTCCATATGAACCCCAGGGACCTGACGCCTGAGCTGATGTTTTGCTGCCCTCTATGGGTGGAGATAAGTGTACAGTTTCCCAGCTGGGACGCTGGGGAAGTGGAGGGGGAAGACCTGAGACCTGCCTTGTGCCTCTTTCCTGGCTCAGACTCTGCCACGGAGCTGTGGGAACCAGACGCACAGAATGCGAGGGGCCCAGCGCTGAGAGGCAGCAACGGCATCCTCAGGGAGGAAGCCAGGACGCCCCAATCAGCTGGGGGCACTTTGGGGGTGGGGCTGGAGGCAGCAAAGCCCACAGCCCTGCTCCCTGGGATGGAGGCCCCTCCAGAGTCAACAGGTAAGGAGTTGCTGGACTTGGGGGAGGTAGGGGCTCCCTGGATCTGGAAGGGGTATTTTGGGTTCTTTTTTTTTTTTTTAATATTGATTTTAGAAAGAAAAGAAAAGGGGGTGGGGAGAGGCATTGATTTGGTGTTCCACTTACTGATGCATTCATTGGCTGACTTTTGTCTGTGCCCTGACCGGGGATTGAACCCGCAACCTTGGTGTATTGGGACAACACTCTAACCAACTGAGCTACCTGGCCAGGGCTTGTGGGGCTCTTTACCATATAAAATCATGTTAAAGTACCAAGGTTTTGGTGTCAACTTGACCTCAGTGATCTGAGTGTGAGTTTTGTCTCTACCTTAGGCCTTTCTAAGCCTCATTTTCCTTATTCATAAAATAGAAGTAACAACAGTAGCTGTCACTTATGGCTGTTGTCAGGATCAATGCATATAAACAGCTGAGACAGTACCTGGGACATAATAAATAGCACTTGGCATATGAGAGTTACTTTCTTATAATAGAGAGACTAGACTGCATGTTAAAAAGCCGTGAAGGTTACTGGGTGCCCAGGGCAGTGGCCAGCTGGGCGCCAAGCCTGTGTCTTAGAAAACATTAAGGCACTTCCCTGTATCCAGAGCTCCGTCCACAGAAGCGGAAAAAGGGGCCAGCGCCCAAAATGCTGGGGAATGAGCTGTGCAGCGTGTGCGGGGACAAGGCCTCTGGCTTCCACTACAACGTGCTGAGCTGTGAGGGCTGCAAGGGGTTCTTCCGCCGCAGTGTCATCAAAGGGGCGCGCTATGTCTGCCACAGTGGGGGCCACTGCCCCATGGACACCTACATGCGCCGCAAGTGCCAGGAGTGTCGCCTTCGCAAATGCCGCCAGGCTGGCATGCGGGAGGAGTGTGAGTACCTGGGGACGGGAAGGGGGAAGGGGCTGATGGGAAAGAGGTGACATGCGGGTGTCAGGGTGTGAGGGCAGACTGGCAGCTGAGTCTGCAGGGCCTTCCTACCTGGCCCCTAAATATGGATTAAAATCTCTGCTCTTACCCAGTGATCTCTGCTTTTCTGGAGCCTCAAACTACCGCTCTGGCCCATCCTTGCTTCCTGCCAACTGTTCCTCTTCCCTCCCCACATCTGTCCCGTGCTCAGGCGTCCTGTCAGAAGAACAGATCCGACTGAAGAGACTGAAGCGGCAGGAGGAGGAACAGGCTCAGACCACCTCCGTGCCTGCAGGGGCATCCTCACCCCCCCAAGTCCTGCCGCAGCTCAGCCCGGAGCAACTGGGCATGATCGAGAAGCTGGTGGCTGCCCAGCAACAGTGTCACAGGCGCTCCTTTTCTGACCGGCTTCGCGTCACGGTACCTGAGGGACCCGGGGAGAGGTGGCTGCGCCCAAGGTGCCAGCTGGCTTCCTGAGGTCTGACTCAGAGAGGCTTGTTTTTTCCCCCTTGCCCTTCTGAGCAGCCTTGGCCTATGGCGCCAGACCCCCAGAGCCGGGAGGCCCGGCAGCAGCGCTTTGCGCACTTCACTGAGCTGGCCATCGTGTCTGTGCAGGAGATCGTTGACTTTGCCAAGCATCTGCCCGGCTTCCTGCAGCTTAGCCGGGAGGACCAGATCGCACTGCTGAAGACCTCTGCGATTGAGGTGACTGGCGGGGCTGAGGGCTGAGGGGGAGCCAGGGCGGGATTTTCTTTGGGAAGGGCCTCCAGAAAGCCAGCTGGGAAGCCAGACCCACTGGGAAGCGGGGGTCTTCCATTGAAGGTGCCCCGTGCCATGGCCAGCCTACCACGTCCCTGTTTGAGGTCTGCTACTTGTGTTCAGGTGATGCTTCTGGAGACATCTCGGAGGTATAACCCTGGGAGTGAGAGTATCACCTTCCTCAAGGATTTCAGTTATAACCGGGAAGACTTTGCCAAAGCAGGTGAGAGCTGAGGTCCCAAAGGGACTGGATTGGATGGATAGACACTTTTTGTCCTGGGGGCCTCCAGAGCCACCGGCCCAAGGTTTGGGTGGCTCTAAAGGGAAGGCTTCACTGGGTTCTCCAAGACCGAAAGTTGGAATGTAGATAGACCTCTCAACTGTCCCAGATAGACTCCTGTCTTAGGCCAGTGGTTCTCAGACTGTTGTCTTAGGCCAGTGGTCCTTCAACTGTGTTCCAGGGAATCTGACGGAGGGGTTCCACAGAAGTGTCACCTTAGAGAACAAGGAGGCACAGGAATGTCCTTTACTCTTAGTTTAAATGGAGTCAAACAAGAAGCTCCATTTAAATCCGCACTATATATCATGCTTCTGCATAATGTTTGCTTCAAGAAGAGATGTTACAGCTAGGAAGAATAGCTTGAAAACAACCATGCCAAGCCTTTTACTAGTCAGCAATGAGCAAACCCTTCTCAGACATGCTCTCTAAGGACCCTGTGGACTAACTTCCCCCATTCTCCACTTGCTCTTTCTGAAGAGCCATGGAACTACACCTGATACGCAGCAGTCGAGCCCAGATGGGGCAGCTTTGAGATAAGAGTGGATGTTTCTATCCCCATCCTGTCCTGGGAGTATTTTCTCCAAGAATCTGTCCCCACTGCCGCTTTCTAGCTGATACCTGCTTGCGGGCTAAGCAGCGTTGGTTTCCTCCTATTCAATTGCTGTGATGTTTGGGTCAGGGGGACAGAGCTAGGAAAGAATAGAAGGCAGGGGCTGTCGGAGGGGCTGGAACTGAGAGGCTTCCCCAGGAGACAGAGTCATCTAACAACGGAGAGAGTGGGCCTGTAACGTGTGGTGGGTGCTGTGGCTCCGTTCTCGGGGTTGGTAGGTCCTGGTTTCTGGGGCAGAGCTCATAAAACCTTCTCTGCTGTCTGGTGACTCAGGCCAGTTCATGTGCCCCTTTTGTGCCAACCCAGGCTGCCCAGAGGACTTTCTAGTGAGGCCTCTCTTAATTGTAGGGCATGACAGGACTATGTTGGCACCTTTTGCCTTCTGTGTGCTGCCAGTCGAATGTACGAGAGCCTAATAAGGGGAATCAAATAACTTCTTCCATCTTTAAAAGCCCCGCCCCGCCCCCTTTCTCTATCAAACCATCTTTCCTCGAGTGGTTATTATCCCAGTCTTTCTCCTTCCAAACGGCCTGCTCTCCGAACCCTTCCCGGCTCTCCTGTGTGCGTTCCTTCAGCACTTGTAACCTTGGGTTATCTGAACCTGTACCTATTTATAGATTCATTTCTACAAGCAGTTTTTTAAAAAAGATTTTATTTATTTATTTTTAGAGAAAGAGGCAAGAGAAGGAGAGAACCATCAATATGTGGTTGCCTCTCGTGTGCTCCCTAATGGGGGCCTGGCCTGCAACCCAGGCTTGCGCCCTGACTGGGACTTAAACTAGCAGCTCGTTGGTTCACAGCCCGGCCCTCAATCCGCTGAGCCATACCAGCCAGCGCCTATAAGAAGTTTTGATATCATCTTTGCCTTTCATTTGTCATCGTGTCAGTGAGGTCTTGGGGAGAAGGATCAGGGGCGCTCTTCGGTCCGCTCTCCTTCCCCTCCCCATGACGAATGACGCGGACTGATGGCACTGCAGATGTTCATTCAGCGAGCAGTAGCAGACCCGTCCAGGGAGCACAGCCCAACTCTGGAACCTCCTTGTCCTCTCTGCACAAACAGGCTGTTCAGCACAATTCGAGGCTCAAAACCTCACCAACAAATACTTTAGAAAGTGGGGCCTGTCCATTACATGAATCAACATACACTTGACAAACACCAGGGTGAAAGTACAGGAAGTGACTGATTAAGAAACCACGGATGGAAAGGTTAGCAGATGGTTGCTAGAAGGAATCTGAGGAAGCCTCGCGGAGGGAATGGGGTGGGGTGACTGCGACGACGTGTGTGGGAGGTGTTTTTTAGATGTCACAACTTTAGGCTGTGCTTTGTTGAACATGAGTCTCCTCGTCAAGAAGATTGGTTCAATTTTTAAATTTTTATTATTTCTGTAACAAACACTTGTACAGTAGTTACCATCTGTGCCACACATTGTTTATTCTAAGGACCATAATGAAATAGGTGCTATTATCTCCATTTGACAGATGGGAAAACCAAGGCTCAGAGAGGTTAAATAACTTACCCAAGGTCACACAGCCTAGTAAATGGTAGAGCCAGGACCCAAACCCAGGCGGTCTGGCACAACAGTTGACACACTCAACCACATGGTCAAGCTCCCCCCGGATAGGAAATATGAAATGTATCTCTAGTGTTCCAATAAGTAAGGCCAATTGTCGGTGAAAAAGCTTTTTTAAAACAAAAATGAGTAGCCTCTATTTCTAGTACTGGGGCCCTTAAGAATTTTAATAAGAGTAACAGAATTATTATAATCATTTAATTCAGCACCTCCTATGTTCCAGGCACAGTGCTAAGTACTTTATCATTTAACGGTCTTAGAAATTCAGATATGCTTCCCATTTCACAGATGAAGCCTAGAGAAGTTAAGAAAATTGCCCAAGGTTACAGAGCAGAGCCCTGGAGGCCTCTTACTGAGTTCCTAGCATAGCAGGTCCCTTAAGTTGAGGAGCTGGAGGAGAGAAGGAAGTTCCCGCCACTCTTGCTGCACACCCAGCCTCTCTTCTTCCTCCCCAGGGCTACAAGTGGAGTTCATCAACCCCATCTTCGAGTTCTCCAGAGCCATGAACGAGCTGCAGCTCAACGATGCCGAGTTTGCTTTGCTCATTGCCATCAGCATCTTTTCTGCAGGTGCGGAGGAGGTGCAAGAGGGGAAATGAGCGCGAGACTTGAACTAAGCAGGGCTGCAGGCCCCACACAGGACAGGCATGGTAGGGGGTGGAGGCCCTTGCTGTGTTACTTTGGGATGGCAGAGGTAGGGTGGGACACATTCCCATTTTGGGTTGTGATTTGGGGCATGAAACTGACCCTGGCCAGACTTGCTCCTCAACTCTGTTGGTGAACTATAGACCGGCCCAATGTGCAGGATCAGCTCCAAGTAGAGAGGCTGCAACACACGTATGTGGAGGCCCTGCATGCCTACGTCTCCATCCACCACCCTCATGTGAGTCTCCACTCGTGCCCTTTCTCCTCAACGCAGGCTCATTCCCTGACACACCTGCTTTCCCTTCAAGAATCCCCTTCTGATTATGTCATGTCGACAGTTCTCTGCCTCTCCCATAACTCCCCTACCCTTGCCCCCCTTCCCTGGGGAGAGACAAAGTCCGTACTTCTCCCCCAGGACCGACTGATGTTCCCACGGATGCTAATGAAGCTGGTGAGCCTCCGGACACTGAGCAGCGTCCACTCAGAGCAAGTGTTTGCCTTGCGCCTGCAGGACAAAAAGCTTCCCCCGCTGCTCTCTGAGATCTGGGATGTGCACGAGTGACTGTCCTTCGCCCTTATCTTCTGTTTTCGGGGATGGCTGAGGCCCCAGGGCTGCCTCCTAGAGCAGACTGGAGCAGACTGAGAAGGGCAAATCTTCCTGGGAGCTGGGCAAAAGAGATGCTCAAAGTGACATTAAAGGAGACTCAAAGGGTTGGGAGTTTGTAGCTGCTGAGCATTGGGGATCCTGCCAAAGCTGTGCTCCATTTGAATACTATACTGACCAACCAAATGTACGAACCTGGGGCCACTTTGCACTAGATTCTCCAGGGCCCTGCCGATCCTGCCTCCACTGTTTCCTGTCTTCCCCATGGGGCCCCAAGAGAAATTTTCCTTTGTCACTCTGCGGCTTGGCCATAAATGCCTCGGGTCTGCCTCCCTGATAAGTCGGACCGGTGGTACTGTTTGTACAAGAAGACCAAAATGAATGCAGAATGAGAGAAGCAATTTCTGGACTGGGGGTGGGGGAGCGGCCACAGAGGAGGGAAGCCTGTGTCCTTTAGGTTCACCTCCAGACTCCGAGGAAGGAGACAAGCCCCATGTGCCAGTCTCTTTTTATTAGCCCCCCTGCACCCTGGGGGTCAATGAAATGCTCGTACCCCTTGGCCTTTTCATGATGGGATAGGAGCGTCAAGTTGTTTTTCTGTGGGGAAGGGGGTGTTGAATTTTCAGAACTAGCACCTCGGGTAAGCACCTGTGTTCGTTTCGGTCCCCAGAGTATGGGACAGAAAGAAAGGTCCCCGGAGGCCAGGGAGAGGCTGCCCTGTCTAGGGTTGGGCCTCTCAGGAGGACTGGACTCCATTTCCCAGCGGGCACCGCGGCGCCGCTCACGCCCCCTTCCCTTGGCGTTCGCCCGGTGTAGGTGATACCGCGCCGCGTCTTCCGGCTTCAATTTCCCCCGCCACCCCTGAATTGGTAGGCTCCACTGCCGGGGCAGTCGGCTTTCCAGCCGGAGCGGCTGGGCACTTCCAAGCCGTGTGCGGGGGGAGAGAGGTGAGGTGTGTGTGTCTGTGAGGGCGGGGGACGCTCAGAAACTCTCAGGAGCAGTTTATCTGGAGAAGTAGCTTCCCGTAGTCCACACTTGGTCGGATTGGGATCTATCACCGTGTGGAATTCAAACCTGTTTGCGCAACCTTGGCACGCAGTGGCGCTGGGCAGGCCCTGCGCGCTCCATCGCGTTCCCACTCCCACTCCTATAGGTGTATGCGTAGCCACCTTTCTCCCGAGGTCGGCTCCACCTTTCAGCTCTCGGCTTGGTGCCACCCTGTCCCCCTGCGGGGTTGAATGGTAGGGCCCACGCTCCCCCCACCGCCTCAGCCTCTCCTTCCTCAGCGGGTCGGAGTGGTACGCGCCCCCACCCCCCCATCCCGGGTGCGGACGCGGAACTGGCGCGCGCTCGGAGCGGCGCCCGCGCCGGGGAGCGACGGACGCTCTCCTGCCGAGGGACAACCGGCCGGGCTTGGCCGGTCCCCCGAGGCTAGAAGGTAGGAAGATGTGGGCCACTGGGGGCCCTGGAAGGGTATTTGGGACGGGGCTCCTAGGCGGAAAACGGGTGCGGAGAGGAAGCAGGGCTCTAGGGGGAAGGAGGTCTCAGGAGGCCCTAAAGGAACGTCGGGGCACGTGGGGTCTCGACAGCGACTAAGGGGTCTGCACAGATGGGGCGGGGCTAGAAGTGGGGGCGCTCCGAGTCGCCGAGGGGGTGCGGACTACGGGCCCGGGCTCAGCTCGCAGCTGCTGGGCTCGGTTCTTGCCGGACGGGAGGGCGGCACTGGTTCGGGGGCGGAGGCGGGGGAGAACTGTCCAGCAGGTGAGGGGGTGGGCAGAGCTGTCCAGCCCAAGGGCCGACCCGGCATGGCACCTGGCGTGCCCGCCCGTGTGTGTGCATGTGCCTTTGCGCCCTATTTTTGGTTACGGTTTGAAGAACTACGTTTGGTTCTTTAAAATATTTATTTTTAATTTGGTGTTTCAAAATTGGCTAGGTAGAGAGTGGAGACTCCGTTTAACCTTTTCTGCAGCTGCTTCCCTCCTCATCCTCGTGAATCTCTAAATTCTTCCTCCTTTTCTTCTGTCCCCTCCTTCCCAGCCCTGCCTATTGCCTGCCTCATTGCTCTCTGGTCTCTCCCATACCGGACCCAGTCTGTGTTGATGTGCTTGCAAGGTCACTGTCTGGGGAGGGAGAGGAGGATGGAGAGCCTCTTGTGCTCACGTCAGCAAAGATGTCATATCGCTCTCCGGTTCCTGTGGTTTTACTATGAAATTCTGCTTCTAAAGAGGGACGAATTCATAGGGTTGGTTGTAGGCTGAAAAAACATCGGTAACTTAAAGAAAGGCCTGTGGGTTGTAAATCTGCGTCTGCATGGAGTGGTTGGTGATGCAGGACTTCAGCAGATAGGGTATGTATTTTGAGCTTGATGCTAAGGAACCAGGGGCTCCGTGTTAGTAACTATGGTTGAGGCAGGAGGCAGAATCTGAGCCTGGGTAGAGACGAAGAGGGAGTGTAATAGGTAGTGTGAGAGGATTTGTGAGTAGGGGAGAGAATGAGAAGAAAAGCCTCCGTTATTTCTGCCATCTGAATAACCAAAGGCAGTGGCTGCTGATGAGATGGGAATTGTGGCTAAAACTCTATCCTGTTGCTAGCAGCTAGAGGTCACAAGATCTCAGGATCCTTGTGGCTCTGGAGGGAGATGAGCACTGGAGAGCATGACAATGACTTGATTTTTAGGAAATGATCCTCAGTGGAGAGGGGCTGGGATCCCGCTGCGAGAGGCCTGACACCTGCAATGTTAGCACATGTTTCAGGGGTCATGTTGGAGATTTTGGCAGGAAGGGGTTCCTGGTTTTCAATGTAAATATAAGTTTCAAGGCTCAGCCTTGAGCTTGGCCCTGTAAATTCTGTTTTATTTAAGATACAGCAGGTCCTCAAATAATGTTATTTTGTTCAACATTGTTTAGTTATTACGTTAATGACATGCCTTGGGAGTTTAACCCTTGTTAATGTCAATTAACCTATGGTAAAATTGGTTTCATTAATATATCGTTTCACTTAAAGTTGCAGAGCCTGATGGCATTAAGTGAAGATTTACTGTACTTTGGCTCTCACCCTAGGCATTGTCCACATAATTCTTCATATAATGAATTATGCTTTTACCCATCTCCCATTTCATTTCTGTTTCTCTCCTCTTCTCATTCTGGTTGGGAAGAGCTCAGTTTGGCTCTGTAACGGTGCCCCACCTTCTGCATTATGCTTGTGGCTCCATAGCAGAGGACTTCCTGGCAGCGTGATGTCTAGAAATGAGTCTGTGGCACGCTTGGGAACTTGGTGTGGGAAAGAGATATCTCAGTCAAGCTCCAGAATTAGGACAAAGTGCAAACAAAGACAGATGGGGAGAAGCTAACCTAATAATTAGCAGGTGCTGTCAGTGGACGAGGTGTCTCCAGATTCAGGGAGAATGAATTGTTACGGGCCCTGGCCGACTCTGGAGTAGCAGCTGCTACTGTGAGGTCACCAAGCAGGGAGGGACTGTGGCTCGGCTATAAATAGTGCTGGGAGCCAGAGTAGCTATGGAGATAAAACTGAATCCTGTTACCTGCTGGTCTTCTATTGGGAGCAAGGGAAAGGAGAAAGCAGTGTTTTGAGGATCTGAGGGGTGTTGCAACACCTCTTTTATTATTAAACAGGAGAGAAAAAAGATGGAACTTGTTGTAGTCATTATCTGTATCAAACAGGGCCTTAAGCATGCAGGGAGTGTGTATGTCTGTGTGTACGGACGGGCATGCAGCAACAACAGGGACCGGTGTGTGAGCGTGTGTGCTATGTAATGGGATTCTCTCTGTGTACATAGTGAACAAGGTCTTGGTGGGGCCACGTGCAGAACACAGAGGCGGAGTTGTAGAAGCACTGAAAATAATCTTGAGGTAGAGGGAAACATTTTATTACAGAAGTGTATGGGAGATCCAACAGGAAATAAATTATGACTAAGACTCTGTAAGCCTTTTCTTAGTTTTGGACTGTGGTTTAGAAATTCCTCTGAGCACTTCTTTCTGTCCTTGGAGAAATCTTGTTATTTCTGCATCTAATTCCCAGTCTTTGTAAGTTATGGAAGGACAAGGCCCTGTCTGCATGCATTGTATTACTGATTCCAACCCTGGGACCAAAGTAGCGGGGAGAGACTATGATTCAGCACCAAGGGCAGAGCTAGTAGCAGTAACCCCTAGGTCCCTTTTTTGCTCAAAGAGGGAAGAAAAAAGGTTTAAATAAAGCAGTTGGGGCATAGATATTCTTCATTTGAGCTTGCACTGGGTAGAGTGGCCAGCTGCTGTTATTGTCTGAGAGCAATTAACTATATAGTCCATATGGTAGTTTCACATCAAGCTGAATGCAGACTATTGGAACAGAGAATAATTAAGTTTCCATCTAGAGCGAGGAGTACAGGTTCGTGCCTATTAGAGAGTCTGGTTTGATCCTGATCCACCCTGGAGCGGTCCTGAAAGAGACTCAGTTTTTGGTGTCATAATGACTGAGTCCAGATGAGAATTAAGTGAGTCTCTTTTTTCAGAAACAGAGCCCCATGGGCAAGCCTGACAATGAACTGGTTTGTAGGGATGGGACATGAGCCATTATTTATCCTTTCTGTCACTTGACTCTGTGAGCACATAAGCCTAGATTGAACTCTAGCATGGGAAAAGTGTCGGGTTCTAACTGTGGTAAAGAATTGGAAGACCTTCTGTCCTGTGCCCCTGGCTGGGTTGAAGCTGATAGGGCTGTGTCCCTTAGGCACAGCAATGGATCTTATCAGTGCTTTTTTCCTGTTAGACTTGGATTTTCAGAGCATAACACAGTTGCTCCTGGGAATGCCGACTCCTCGCTTGGTGCCTTGAAGCTTCTCTGGGATGAACTGATGAACTGGAACCATGGTGCAGAAGAAGAAGTTCTGTCCTCGGCTGCTTGACTATCTAGTGATTGTAGGGGCCAGGTAACCGAGAAGAGACTGATTTTTGTCTTGTCATCGGGGATAGCCACAGAATTATCCCCTCTCCATTTCCATGTTGATTGGCATATTGCATTCTTCCCCTGTTATTTTACTCTGACGGGAACATGGATCGATGGCCCTAGTGAAAACAGTGCAGTCGGGTGGGTTGAGAGTAGTGGCCGGAGGCACCCAGGCGGAGCAGCAGTGTCCTCGGAACTAGCATCTTGGTGCACTTGAGCACATGCACTTGATATGCCCCAATTTCCTTGTTTTGTAAAAAGGAAAAGTACGTTTTGCCCCTTCTCTACCTACCCGTGCTTTTTTGGTGACCAGTTAGCTAATACACGTTGAAAAGGTGTGAGTGATAATTTTAGTGTCGAAATTTTTCTCTCAGGGTAGGTGTCTTCGCGACAGCGCAGGCCTCATTTAGCCTACCTGCTACATATAACAAGCAGCACCCGCGTTTTCCAAGGTCCTGCAGTTAATTACTTGATCCACAATAGCATTTTGAACTTTACTTGTTGACCGTGGTAAAATTTGATGGCGCAGCCTGTCCCTTCAGGCTGCTGAATTGGTCTCTGTGTCCTTCAGGCACCCGAGCAGTGATAGTGTGGCCCAGACACCGGAACTGCTCCGGCGATACCCGTTGGAGGACCATGCTGAGT